ACCTATTATATGTCTATAAGAAGCCACAAGTATTTATAAGAAATTAATTTTATCGGTTTTTATTGGTTTTTTACATCTAACTTTTATAAAACATAATATATACCCTTCATTCACTTATCCAATAAATAATAATACCCAGCTGTTACGTGTAACACCTATAAAATATTGATAACATGATGCGTATACGCGTATAATGCGTATTTACGCATTATGTTATCAATATTCTATTGGAGTTACAGTGTAACACTCTTACACGTAACAGCTGTGTACGAGTATTTATCGGATAAGTGATTATAAAGTTTTATGATTATATAGTGTCTTATTAAAACTTTTTTAATTCTCATAAAATATTATATAACATGATCGGTAAATACCTACTGATAAAGTTTAATAAGTTTTCACTAGAGCTTAAAAGTAAGACACCATATATAGTGTCTCTTAAAAACGTATACATACTCATAAAATATGTATATTATATTTAATATTATAACTACTATTCTACTGACTAGAGTTAAAAAGTAATGTCTCTTAAAAACTCATAAATACTCATAAAATATTATATAACTTGATGCGTAAATACTGATAGTTTAATAAGTTTCGACCAGAGTTGAAAAGTAATTTCTCTTAAAAACTCATAAATACTCATAAAATATTATATACCTTGATGCGTAAATACTCATAAAGTTTAATTAGTATTGACCAGAGTAAGGTTGCCTATGATAAGTAGGCATCTACTATAATATAGTAGAAATCTACTTATCATGGGCAACCATTATTGCATAATACATCTCGCTTATGTGGCACTATTTGTTAAGTATATAAGTTGACACTGGCTGCATTGCAATTTAAGATTTAGGAATACGAACCTCGGCAAATAAACGAGTCACGAATTGTGGCCTACGACAATTTAGCTTTTTCACTGAAATTCTTTGTTGGAGCCAGGATTGTTCCGTCTAGATCGTCATGGAATTTCCGTGGTCCTCTGTTTAAACAGTGCCTGCTTTGCAAGGCCAAAGCCGCGAACCCCCACAATTTACTACTTCACGTAATATTTTGATCGATTCGACGTCATCCAACAGGTTAAAACGACGTAATGGGTGACGAAATAAATACGTTAAAAGAACGTCATACTGTCAGCTGGGTAGTGTCTCTTAAAAACGTATACATACTCATAAAATATGTATATTATATTTAATATTATAACTACTATTCTAGAGTTAAAAAGTAATGTCTCTTAAAAACTCATAAATACTCATAAAATATTATATAACTTGATGCGTAAATACTGATAGTTTAATAAGTTTTGACCAGAGTTGAAAAGTAATTTCTCTTAAAAACTCATAAATACTCATAAAATATTATATACCTTGATGCGTAAATACTCATAAAGTTTAATTAGTATTGACCAGAGTTGAAAAGTAGTTTCTCTTAAAAACCTATAGAATTTGAAAAGTTTGTATCAGAAATTGCTGTTTCATAGGCCCTATAAAATCTCATCAACTTTTATAAGTTTTTATAAGTTTTTTTTTATAAGTTTTTATGCGGGATTTTCAGCAGGGATGGGCATGTATTTCTGGTGCATAAGTAGAATATTTTGTTTTTGTAGTGTAAATGTTTCTGCGAGTGTTTCTGCAAGTGTTTCTGATAGTGGTGATTCTTTGGGAGGAGGTGAATGTGTAATTCCTATCAATGATATGGATTTAGGAGATGCTTCTACTCGAGACATTGGGTACATAATTAATATTTTTATCATTATTTGCTATTGGTGCGAATAATGATAAAAATATAAACCATAAAAGTTGTACTTTTTTTAATTTTTTGTATTTGATAATGTTTTGCAGAGTCAATACGGAGACAAGCACTGAAATAGATGATCGTGACAAGTTAATAGCCAGTCTTCAAGAAAAAATAAAGATTTTGGAAAAGAGACAAGATATCATTGGAAACCTTTTTAGCAGTGAACAACTAAAAAAACTTGAAGGCTCAAAAGCTCGCCTAAAATGGTCAATTGAAGATATTTCAAAATCTATCGTAATATATTCTGCTGGTCCCAGAGCATATAGATTACTTTTAAAAAAATGGTATCCCTTCCCTGCAGTATCCACCCTTAGATCCTGGCTGAAAAAAATTCAAATTGCCCCTGGAATATTAAAAAGTGTTTTTAATATAATGAAGCTATCAGATATGACCACGTTGGATAAAGTGTGTGTGATAACATTAGATGAAATAAAAATTAAAAAACGTTACTTATATGACAAAGTAAAAGATGAAACCTTAAAGCCATATAGCTATGCACAAGTTATATTATTGAGGGGATTATTCAAAAGTTGGAAACAACCTATCTTTTATGATTATGATTTTAAACTTAGCAAGGAAAAATTATTTGAGTGTATTAACTTTGCTGAATCCTCAGGTATTTATATATTTTATATAGTTTTTAATTAGGGCCATTTACTTTTTATTCTTCAAATTTTAATTTTTAATAAATGTATTATTAATTAATGGTTTATTCCAATTAATAATTGTTTATTCCAGGGTTTCAAGTTGTCGCCACTGTAAGTGACTTGGGCGGTGGGAATAGATCACTTCACAATGAGTTAAATGTGAATTATAAAAAAAGTTACTTTACAAATCCTTATAATGGTGAACCAGTTTTTGTGTTTGCTGATGTTCCTCATCTTATGAAGTTATTAAGGAACCACTTTGTTGACCATGGGCTTATAGTAAATAATAAGGAAATAAATAAAGCTATAATTGAAGAACTTTTGGATGTAACAACAACTTCTGATTTAAGAATAACTCACAAAATTTCCAAAGAGTCCCTAAATGTACAAGGAGCTGCCCGTCAAAAAGTAAAATTGGCCACAAAGTTATTTTCACATACAATATCTATGGCCATCACTCGATGTGGAACAATGGACAACTTGAAGCAACCAAACTGGGTAGAATGTTCAGAATTTTTTAAATTGGTATGTATATTTAACTTTTGTTTTGTTAATGAAATAATATGCATAATTTTAAGGTAAATGACTGGTTTGATGTGTTAAATGTAAGAGTTCCTAAAAGTGATAGTAGAGATCGAACCAAGGCTTATGGGCTTGCATTAGAACTCCAAGAAAGCATAATTAATAATATGAATGTGACTATGGAAAACATGAGAGTGAAAGGCAAAAACACTTTACTTCCATTTCAAAAAGGTACAACAAAATTTTGATTTTACCTTGAGAATCATTATGTCTCTATTTTTTGTTTTAGGAATAATTATGACAAATAATTCATTAAAATTATTATTTGAAGATTTAAAGAGAAGATTTTTTATAAAATACCTTTTAACATACAGATTAAATCAAGATGTTTTGGAGAATTTCTTTGGAGCCATACGGGCCAAGGGAGGACTTCATGACCATCCAGATGCACTTGAGTTTAAATACAGGCTACGGTCCTACATTCTTGGTCGGAATGAGGGCTCTCTTTCAAGTTTTGGAAACATTGAAGAGGATGACACTCCTGATGTTCATATTGAAGAAACAAATTTATGTGGACAATATTTTTCCACAGTTGATAATATCGAAGAACCTGAGGAGATTCCTGATCCAACATCTCTTACTTCAATTGATAATGATCTAAGTGATATTGAGTACGACGGATTGGAAAACTTGGCAGGGTATATTTGCCATAAGCTTAGACAAGTAGATACCTCAACAGCTACTTCATCCAGCTATACATGGGTTTCACATCTAAGTGAGGGAGGCTTATCAAAGCCGACTCCCGAATTTATGGCCCAGTTAGAAGACCTCGAAAAAATTTTTAAATCTTTAAATAAGGATGGTTTATTTATTTGTAAAAATTATTTAAAGAAATTATTAGATTTAAGTTCTTCGGTTTTATGTTCAGTTGAAAACAAAAAGTTATTTTTTCGTTCTCGAATGTTTTTTAGAATAAGGGAGTTAAATAAGGCTTTACATAATGAAACTATTTCTAGAAAACGAAAAATGTCGAAAATAATCAACTGAATTATTAAATTTTATGTAGTTTTATTTGCAAAACCATTTTTTTCGTTTTTTCAAAATAATTTGTCATTAACATACATATTTTATTATTCTTTTTTTATAAATTTATAAATAAACCAAAATATTTTATATATAGGTTTTATTTGTATAAACAACCTGGTTTCCTCTTATTAAGATACTTTATAATTATTATTATAATTACTTATATCTTAGTAAAAAATACATACCTAATAATATACCCAATTGTTGCATTTTTACCTATCATGACGAGTATCTGATATAAACTTCACTTTCAACTCATCCCAACTTAAAAAATATATTTATAAATATAATTTTTTTTGTTATTAGTAAACATTAAAAAGGGTTATTCAAAATATTTGTTCATTTATTTGTATTCATTCATAAAAAGAATTTTAATCTTTATTCATACCACAAATTTAATTTAAATAAGTATTAAGTAAATATAATGCGCCTTTAATATTCTAAATAGTAAGCCAGGCATAAAAAAATATAATTTTTTTTGTTATTAGTAAACATTAAAAAAAGGATTATTTAAAATATTTGTTCATTTATTTGTATTTATTCATAAAAAGAATTTTAATCTTTATTCATACCAAAAATTTAATTTAATTGAAATAAGTATTAAGTAAATATAATGCGCCTTTAATATTCTTAATTGTAAGCCACATATAGATATATGTTATTAAAATAATATTTAATAAAAGTTATGATAGATACATGAACAAAAGTTACAAACAATCGAAATAATATCAAATTCCTGTGTTTCGCGCCACGAACAACTCACTAGCTGACGTCATTGCGCAGACCTTGACAAGTTTTGCACAGCTACGTATCATATCTTCTCTTCCTTGTATCTCTTCCTTGTATCATGAGTATTTAACAAACTTAAATTACAGATGTCTTCCGTGAGTTTACAAAGTAAACGATAGGTGGCGATATAAAAATAACCCCACTTATTGATGTCAACATTTAAAAACACATGGGTAATTGAATTTTCGTATTATACGTTGTTTGTGAAATTGTTTAAAGAAAATGACGATGGAAGTTGATGAAAGTATTCCGGAGAATGATAAAAAACACAAAATTATTGATGATGAAGTCGACATATCAAATAAAAAGGCAAAACTGTTTTCGGCGAGAGAATTTAGAAAAGAGTTAACGCAAGGAGACAAATTGGTTTGTAAGTAATTATTTTTGAGTTATTTTTTAGAGACTTTTACAAGATTTATTTTAGGCATTACCAAGTTTTTAAATTGCGTGAAAGAAAATAATAAACATGATATTATATTTGAATACCTAGAATGTGGTGGAAACTGTCTAGAATTACTGCAACAGCTAGAATTGGAATCTTCATTGAATCCTTGCCTTGTTTTTGAATTAGTAACTCATATTTTACTGCAAATCAATGCCAAATACGCGCATTATCAAAATTCTGCCAACGATGCATGCAGATACATATTAAGCACATATGTAACATTGATCAACAAAATGATAAATCTAAGTTCTTCAACGGTTGAAAGAAGAACTGCCTTAAAATTATTGACTGTGATTGCAACAATGTCACTGAATTTAGCACAGGAAGTTTTGGTGAAAGTAAATTTTAATCAAACTAATCTGGAATTGTTAACAAAGCACACTGGGCAAAAAGACAGCGTTCGAGATGTCTTCATACACTTCCTTACAGGGTTTTTGGTTGGTGGCCACTATCCTAACCTCATTTTATTGTTAAGAAAAAGAGGGCTGTTGACAAGTATCATAAGAGATTTGCAGTTTGATAATTGCGAGACTGTGTGTTTGGTTATAACAGTAATGAAAAGTCATATTTTGGAAAATCCTAATGTATCAAAAACTGATAAAATGAAGACGTTTAGCACACCAGTAGTTAGAGATATTGTAAATTTGTACAACTGGAAGGGGCCAGCAAGTTTTAAAGCACAAAGGAAGGATAATAAATTTAAGGTAAAATTTTTTTGGCACTAATTAAAACTTCATTGTAACTTATTATTGACATTTTAACCACCAATTAAGAATAATAGTGATCTGTTGAGTGGAGTTGGAAATGTCAAATTAAGGTAAAACATAATTATAATTTTATCTATTTTGCGTTCATAATGACTTCATTATAACACCGCTTTCACTGCTGTAATGAGATACTTTATCCCACCCAAAATTTTGATTTTATAGGTTGGCTATACTTTAAACAGCATAATATTTTGCATATTGGTTATAATACTTTTATGATTTTTCTAGTACCTACTTACAAGACTTTTCTGACAATAAATTTTGTTTAACACCAAAGAAAATCCTTTTTTTCTATTTTAAAATTAACACCCGCTTATTGCAAATAAGTAAATTAAGGACGGCATGGAGAATCGATTTTGACATTTCATCCAATCAAATAAAATATCAAACCAATAACTGTGATACCAACTATCTAAAGTAAAATTCGACCAAATTAAATTTAACGTTACCTTAATAAGGTATAAAATTAATTTTTTTATAGAATTTTTGCAAAATAGATAAAATAGCATAGACCTGTTGTCCCACTCGTCCATTACAAATTGTCCGCGTGCGACAAAATGACGTCTTATGACATTAGTTAATATACTATTATAATCTTCTTCTTTATAATATTATATTTTATAATAAAAAAGGTTTTTTATTCAGTCATTTTTTATTCAAAGTCATTTAACATTACATAACCTTAAAAACTTTTTAAGAACTAACAAAATATATTTTTTTCTTAGGTTGAGGTGGATGAATTTGAAAAATCCAAAGTTAGCGAATGCGTTCACGATTTTTTAATTATTTTGTGTACTTCCCATAAATATGGTGTCGTTTTTAAAGATCATTCCATGGGTCTGGGACAAAAACACCAAAATAGTTTAATGTATACTGTTCTTGAAAGCTTGGACAGGCCTTGGGAACATTCTTATGCAGGTAATATACCTACAGGGTGTTCTAGAAAATAAATAGAAAATATTGCTTTGTTTTTAAGGAAACATCCAATAAGAAGGGTTCTCAAATTTAATTTGTCAACCCTTATTGGAAGTATCTTTAAAAACTAAGCAAGAAATGTGCAATATGTTTTAAATTGTAAAAGAAGAATTTGCAATTTCTAATGATAAGTTTAAAACCAAAAGTTTATATTTATAATAATTTATTTTATAATTTTTCTTAAATTTCATTGTTTTTTTACGATTTTTTTTAACTTAACAATAATAATTGATTAAGTATTAATTATTAAAAAAATAAAATCATCATAACTTATTACAAATATAAACTTTTGATTTTTGAGTCATTAGAAATTTGTGCCAATTAATCTCTTTCAATTAAAAACATTAAAAAACAAATAAAATACAATTTTAAAAACCTTTTAACTTAAACAAAATAACCATTTTTGGACACTCTATAACTTGAAAATAACCTTTGGATATATTTTCTGAAAAACCCTGTTAAAACCTTAACTAATAAAAAAGCATTTTATAGGACAACTGGTAACAAAAATATGCTTAGCCAGTCCAGACTTATCAAAAACCATGTGGGCAAATTTGAAAGCCTTTCTGGAGCTGAGAGCAACAAAAAAATGGCTGAATGCTATAAATTTTGCAAAAACATTGCTTTTGGAGTTAACTCCTAGCTCTATAGATTTTTGCGCCTCTGAGTTTACAGTGCCACAGGTAATATTTCATTATTTAAATTTAAATTCGTTATTTATACTTAATTTTTTGTAGCTAACACAAATAATTTCGTTCCTAATTCTACCATTACCAATTTTAAAGACAATAATACCTGAAGGCTTTATTTTTGAAAATAGCGTCATAAAACAACATGTAGTATCATTGCTGTTGGAATTTTTAAAAAGAGCGCAAGATTATTTAAACCACAGCGAAACTTGGCTAAATCGTAAAGACGACCAACAAAAATTAAAACAATTTTTTAATAATTACATTAGTAAACACTTCCCAGACTCAATTTTAATTTTAAATAATTGGGAATCTGTAGATGAGTCCGAAGAAATTGAGGGTTTAACAAATATAGAGTACCTAGGTAACATTTTCGATATCTTAGGTATTTATAAGAATATATCGCCCAATCTGTTAGAATCACTGAACACAGGCAACTTTGACATTAAAAACTTTATAGTCAATCTGGAAAATTTGGATACTGATGTGGAAAATATACAAGTAAAGTGCCTAAACTTATTTGTAGACTTTGATAAATCAAAATTTTCTCCAAAATCAGAACTCTTTACATTCACCACCCCTCTACTCTTAAAATTTTACCATGCAAACCACAATGAAGAAACGTTAAATGTTCTGAACAAAATTTTAAAATTAACAAGCATATTTGACGGGTGCGAATATGAAGTTAACTTGTGGATAAATGGGATTTTAGACTTGAAAAAATTCGACGAAAACATCGCTAACATGTTGGTGGAAGTTCTCAAAAACGTAAACGAAAATTTAACAAAATATTTAAAAGAGTTAAAAGCAGTACAAGGCGAGGAAAAAGATGACGATAACATGGAAGAAATAATTGAACATTTAAAACAGGAAAATGTTACTTTAATTGAAAACAATTGCATCAGACACAAACATTTGAGTCCGATGGTTATGGGGTTTTTAAAACATCTTGAATGTTGTGATGACACGAAAAACTTAAAGGTATACACACAATTTGTTTTGATAAATTTATTCCATTCGCAAACATTGTTTGACAGTTTTACTAATATTGCAGGAAAATATAATATGCCAAATAATATCGCCGAATATATAAATAACTCAGGCGTAAATATTTTTGATAAAACTAAAGGTAGAATTACGCTTTTATCAGATTTTGGCCAGTCTTTCTTAACAGGAGATTGCAGTGAATTTTTAAAGGGCAATGATTTAACTATTTATCCAGATCTTACAATCAATATACTTCAACTGGCAATTTTTTACATTCACAATTCGTCAAGTAACGGTAGCCTGTCTGAAAGACACATTAAGAACTTTGAGGCATTTTTACAATATATTATCGATCAAAATAAGATAAACGAAGAACATATTTCTATTACATTGGGAAACCCAAATCTTTACAGACAATTTTCTCTATCAAACACAAACAAAAGTTTGTGTTCCCAATTCCTATTAAAATCCATTGAACTATTGATTAAATCGAACATAAACATCGAAAAATATTTAAAAATATACAGAAAAAAACTGGTTAGGATTCTCAAAAAGCCGCAAAAATGCCAAGTCGACAATTTTAAAGAAATTATAAACACATTTAATTTAGATGCGTTGCAATGTCACGAGGTGATGGACAAAATTTTCGCTAAAGATAATTTTAATGACAATTTGTTGTTGTTAGATATTGCTGCATACTGTATAGAGAGATTAGTGTTTTTGTATAACAACAATGAATGTGTTGAACCTTATCATGATGTAGTCATAAAAAATGTTTGTTTGTATTTTATTTATTTATGTAAAGAACAAATAGATGCCAGTAAAATATCTGTAGCTCTTAAAATGTATTTAGAGGCCTTCCCTTTTAATTTAAAACACATTTGGAATAATTTATTCGAAAGTATACTCAAAATAAGCGAGTATAATAAAGATAACATAAATTTGTTGTCCTACTTACTAGAAAACAACATCAAATATATTGAAACGATAAAAGAAAATATTGATATAGTTTGCGACAAAAAGTTTTTGCTGTTGCCTTTATTAAAAACGATATCAGAAAATGTCGACCAAGACTTCCTTAAGGATATTTACACGAAATTCGATGGCAGTTTAAATAAAGCTTTAAGCAAGCCCCAAAAAGCTGGTCAGCATTTTATTAACAACGCGGAGGGTTTATACAGCATGTATAAAATTTGTATGACCCAAGAAAAATGTTGCAAATACTTTGAGAAAGTTCAAAAGTTTGATGTTTCCGAATTTTTCCTTGCCAGTGTATTGCAAGCTATAAGTGAAAATGTTTTAAATGGTGAAGTAACTGAAAAACAAGTAAATAATATTATTTTGAGTTATGTCCACCTACACGTTACTTTGTTTAAGAGAAAAAAGAGCGATGAAGATATGGAGAAATTGGAAAAAATATCCAATAGTTTCCTAATTATTTTAGAGAATATTATGGAGAAAACTTTAGAGTTCGATTTTAGTTCTATTTCAAGTAATGAGACGTTTAAATTATTTGCCAAATTTTGCCTTAAGTTTGGAATATCAGGTCAAAGTAATCTACTGATAATCTTAAGAAATATAATTAAAATTTTGGGCACTAAAATTGACCAAAATGATGCTAAAATGTTGTTTGATTTAATGTTATCTCACTCTGAATTTTTGGACGTATTATTAGGCGAAAATGTTCAATGCAAAAAAGGTATTTTGTCTTTATTTTTATTATTGTGTAACAACTGGAAGGAATTTATGGAAAAAGACCACATACCGGTTCTTTTAAGTGCTTACAAGGCAACAGTTGGATGCTGCGACAAAATAATACTCACCCTATTACAGAAGTAAGTAAATGTCGCCTAAAAGTGCGCAGCAAAATAAACAATACTTTTTTCTCATATTTAAAAAACTCCTTATATTTTGTAAAATTTGGGGAAACAATTATTAAGTATTATTAGGTATTTATAAAAATATATTTAGTTTATACATATCTAAAACTATGCCACATACAAAAGTTGTTATATTTTATCTATATTTTATTAAAAATGTTTACAAACTGAATAAAAACACTTTTTAACAAATTTTTAATAATGATATAGTAATAAAAATGAATTGCAGTGTATAACAAATGTTTTTGGCCCACTATACTTATTTTAACAAAACTAACCTTTAATTTGAATAGGTACGAGTTAAATGCGGAAACTACCCAATTCTACGATTACAAACCATTCCTGTGGGACAAAGCTGCTGTTACTCACTACTCAGTGAGATCGTCAATGGAAAACAAACTGTCCAGGCAGCCGAAAATGGGGGACATCCTGGACATTCTGCAAGAACAAATAATCCAGAACACCATCAAAACATTCCCGCAAGATTGTCCTTTACAAAAGAATATTTTGGAAGAACATCGGGTCGATTTTAACGAAGAATCGAACGCGAACGGTGAAAGTTGTTACGATATGTCGTTTTTGTTGCCGGTTTTCAGTCAGCTTTTGGCGCCGGAAAATCAAGTGCAAACCTACAAGTTTACCAGATCTGGGGCTCTTGGACTTACGGTGGCCGCTTTGAGTTCGCATGACGAGGAAATCCGCAAGGCAGCTTGTCATGTTCTCTCCAGATTTTATATTCATATGGAGGCACGACAGTCAGGAAAAGACAATTTGTTGTGGATCAGATACATAGAAGCAGTTTGCAAAGGTTGGTAAAAATACTTACTTTTTTATTATTATTTTTTCGTTATAATTATTCATTAGTAATCTAAATACTTCTCACTTTGCTAGAGGTCTCAGTTTCAAATCCCGGTTGATCCCTCGCTTTTTTTAAATCATATGCTGGTGTTGTAAGTAAGGGGCAAGCACAAATGTGTTAACCTTTATTACCTAATATTGGAGTAGCACAAAATATTTATTATTTATTTAAAAAAATCTATATTAATTATACAATACTCTAAACTTTTTTTAGAAAAAAACATTAACCTACAAAGAAATAGGTTATTATTTGAAATAACATAATATAAATTTATTAACAACAATAAATTTCTATTTTTTTATAGAACTATATACAACAATTGAATAAAAAATAAATATATTTAGTTTTATTCAATTGTTATATATAGTTTTATAAAAAATTTACTTTATAAAGTAAATTTTCTTTATTAAACTATTGTTGGTATTATCATTATTATTCAGTATTCAAATACTTCAACAAAAACCTGTTTTGCTGACTTTTCTGTTTCCAATTTGTTTCTTATATTGTGCACAAGATTAAAAAAAGAAAAAATTCGTTCGACACCTGTCTAAGATGCGATTGCAGTATGCAGTTACTTGATAATATTGAATTTTTTTTCACAACTTTAAAATTAAATTATAAATTACAGACCTCCAATCAATTACATTGTTGTTTGGAAAAAGCGGTCCATTAAATGGTGCCGCTCTGGCATGCAATGTTATCATGGTTTCTATTAAATTAAAAATTTAAGTTAATAAATTCTATATCAGAGTCCTTTTTTTCCTTGGATATATCCTGGGGTATTTTTGGCCTGTTCATATCTTTTTAGCTTAAAACATAGCTCTTACGTAATTTATATGTAAGTACTTTCCATATCAGGACACAATCCAGACAAAAACACTTATCACCTTGTAGTGGCTGATTTAGGGGGTGTTTGGGGGGTTAAGCCCCCCGAAATTAAATAAGTTTAAAAATGACACTAAATTTAGCTAATAACTGCTACTTACCCATTTAATACAAAATATCAATATAATGTACAAGTACTTAGTTAAAAGTTTTAAATTAAATACAGTTTCTGTTCTTTGTCCTTGGTCAGTTTATTTTTTAATAAATTTAATTACCCGTTTGGCGATAGTTTTTTTGCCTAGAATCCGGTCTCTAGTAATTAATTATCACGTATACCGGCTCAATGGTCTAGGGGTATGATTCTCGCTTTGGGTGCGAGAGGTCCCGGGTTCAAATCCCGGTTGAGCCCACACTTTTTTATCATTCTTATGCAGTTGCATATTTAATTAAGACAATTTAGACTTAGATCCTTGTGTAGATTAAATGTAAAATTTTGTATAGATCCAATCGTATAAGTTTACAGTTTAGAATTTAGTATTTTTATTTTTAGGTGCTGCTCTGTTGGATGGTTTCCAATTAAACAGTTTTGCAGCTATTTTCCTAGCGAGAATGTCATTTGTTTTGACCCAACCCAACCACGTGATGTATCTACCAATGTCGCAATATTTAACAGCCAAACCTAACCTGGATTTCAGCACCGTACCTGAGTTATATACTTATTTGCACAGTTGCGATATAAACTTTGCAGAGCACCGAAAATTCATTTTGGAGTTATTGAGAGACGGTTTACGAACCGAAAAAGATTTTACAGGGTTTTCAAAGTCCATGGCGTTTAAATTATTCTCAGAGTTGTATACTAGCAGCTTGTCCAATGAAGATACCAAGCTCTTAATATTAGATGTTATTGTAAGGGCTTGTAGAATACCATTGGGTGTTAAAATTTTGTGCGAGAATCATTCATTACTTAGCCAACTTAATTTTATGCTTCAAAGTAAGGGGAATAAAGAGTTTAATAAAAAGTTTTTGGAAATTTTGGAACTTATAGCAGGTACTTTATTAGATCAACATTCTAATACGTTAATTTTTAATATGCTTTTAAAACTTCTGGATGGTAACCAAAATACAAAATTATATGATATTTTAACAATTATATACAATAGATTCCCAGCTTTATATGATGATAATTTCTTTGAAAAACTCATTATTTTGTCAAACGATAAGTTTTGTAAATACATTATAAAATATGGATGCGATTTTATCAATGAAAAAACCGTCGGAAATATTTCTGACAATTTACATAGCTTAAGACTTTTGATACTTACGAAATATAAATCTTGTTAACTAAAAATCGTTTATTTAATTAAATAAAATACCCTTCTACACAAAGTACAAAATTTATTCATCACAGACTATAAACCACAAATAACAAAAATTAATATTAATCCAAGGTAGTATGTAAATACAGGCGTGTTGTGAAATGCGAAATTGCACAATGGTGTTTTGCAAACTTTACAGCTTATCCCTTTTTCTGTAGATTTTCCATCCTCACTTTTCTTCTCGGGCATTTTTTGCTCGCACGTTGTATTTCCCAAATAAGTGCAACCCCTTTCAACGGCTATTACAGTGACGTCCGGCATTTTTGCTGAAATTAAAGTTTGTTGTAGTTCAAAGTTATTTTATTTAAAAAAGATTGTTAATTAATTAATACGACGCAGGTATGTGTGGACGTATTTTATATATTTATTTGCATTTATTTTATTTTTAAAGATTATGTAACAATTATTAAAAGTTATGTAACAAAAAGATTTAAAAAAAGTTTTTTCCGAAAAACGAAAAAATTTCATAAAAAATAAAAAAAAAACTCAATTGGTCAGTCAGCATCATTTTTTAAATTTTCGGTTGGGTAAAAAAATTTTAATAGTCGCAGAAACGTTTTTAGTGGGGCAATAGAGTTTACAATTTGGCGTGAAATGCGCTATATTCATAAATGCTCGTATTAGCTTCAATCTTATGATGCCCTGGATATAAAGACTATGGCCCTGGCAGCAGAAGCACTGTGGCTACAGCCCTGCATTAATCCCATTAAAATAAATAGTTTTATTCAATGGAGAACCCTTTTATTAATACAATTTAATGTCCATGGATTTCCTAATTATTATAGTATAATATCACCGAACACACAACACAATGTCATAGAAGCAGTTTGTAATAGGGAGAAAGTTGGAAAAGACGGTTAGATTAATTCGTATAAAAGCCGCTGTTATAAGTTTTTTAGAAATGAATAGAATAACATGTGCGGAGTTATTTAATTTCAAAAGGAATACTTTAGATATAATGTAAAAACGGATATATTGGGTTGTTTTTAAAGAAAATTTAAATAGAGGCATTAAAGTATTTTACAGCAGGTTTCATCCGAGTTCCCAAAAGCCGCCAAGCATTTTTGCTCTAAGGACTACCATGTGGCAAACACACTTTTTAAACCAACAATTTTAAATCTAAATAAAATAGCTTTAAAAATTTTAATAAAATTAATTTAATTGAAAGAATGACGAATTGATTTAGTTTAAATAAAACTCATAAGCATAGCTTGAAGTAAGTCGACTCAATGAATTTAAACTGAGTTAATAAGGTTTAACAACCAGATAGGAAAATACTGGATTCCATCTTTAGGCAACCGTTGTTGCTTCATTTCCAATGGGAACCATCAATAATTAGGGAATTTTGCAAATTATAAGGTCGAAACCCCCACTAAACAAATCCAGGCCTTTCAAATATTCAAGTTTATCCCATAATTTGAAAAGTAAAAACAAAAATTGTTTACTATACAGAAATATCCTGACAGGTTTACCTCATTTGTTTGTGTAATATATGTAATATTAATTGAAATAAAACAACGAAAAAACCACGGACAACAATTAATTAATTAATAATACTTGCATGACGCTATTCGCAATACTAAAAACTCAGAAATTAGATTATTAATTAATTTGTTAATAAAAAACTATAGATAACTATCGGTAGATATATTGCCGACCATCTAACACTATCTATCGAAACTGAAGAAATGGTTTCGCACAGTGGGCAAACAATTTGCGCACAGCGGTAATACAGATTCCCTACAGAAATACCTATTCACGCGAGTTTCTTTTTTTTTTTTTAGGATATCGCTCTATACAAATATTTAATTTAAATCATTTTTAGATAATAATAAGTATTTGTCCTAGAAAAAGTATAGTATATAACTCGTTTATAAACTTTTATATGCACTTATTTAATTAAAAGGATAACGAAGTAGAACCTACTTTGTTTTTATTTAGTATTCGTGAACAAAATAAGTATTATAATTTATATTTATATCCTTTACGTAGTTTTTAATGTGTACGCCCATGTGTAACTATTCGTTACCAACGTAATAACGATCCATAATTTAAAAACACGTGTTTCCAAGCAAACTAAATTAACTTTTACTTTGTCGATTTGTATCTTTTAAAAGGTGAATCTTATGTTTTCCTCTTAATACATACTTGCATATTTATAAGATAAACAATACTCTCCAGCAGTACAGTTGATGGTTCTCAATGAATTTGTCTGCCCGTCTTTACACGCGTTTGTTGTCTGATGACAGTAGTAACATTCTAGACTGTTGGCTAGAAAAAACAAAAACAACAATTTGCTTATAAATTCACACAAAAACATGCTTACCACCACAGAGAATCGAAAACGACACAAAAACAAAACAGAACATTTCACTGAATATAAATAAAACCGAATTCAAAAATAGCACGGTTTAACTGAAATAAATGAACCCTACTGAATCATACTGAAAACTACTCCAATTCTTTTCAGTTCATTCTGTACGATGGATTTTAAGTCACGCAGTGGCGTACTTATATTTGAATTCCGTCGCGTACTCGTGAGATTTTTTTGGTTATTAAAAAATGTATAATAATTTAATTTTTTTAGTAACATTAAATTAATTCAAAATTAATTTAAAACTTTGTGTAATAAGGAAAAAATTAAATTTTTCATAATAAACTGAAAAACCTACAAAAGGTAATTTAAAATCGACAAAAAAGTTTTAGAATATTATTTACAACGTACATGAAAAATGAACCGTTAAAACTAAAGCGCAGCAATAAATGACTTATTACACCATCTGTATTACAGTCAATGCCAATACAGTCTGATGATATGATTCGTTGATAAGAAGAACGGTCAATTTGGGAAATCAAATTCACCTCCATATGGACTGAAAACATAGAATTAAACGATTAAACGAGATTTCTAGACAAACAAGAGTGTTAAGAATGAGTGGACGATAAAAGTATAATAAGTTTTGCTCAATATAGAGTAACTATATATATCCCGTATGGTCTAGTGGTTAGAATACCCTTGACGCCAACATTTGAAAAGAATATATGAACGATTGCACCCTGATAGCAAAATTTGATTCTAAGAATCTTCTAAGAAGATATGACCCGGAATAATGGAATAAGGTTCCCTTATTGCTAAGAATGTTCTTAGGGACTTTTAAAACATTCATTAGATACCCTTTTAATAATGCAATTCGATTCTTAGAAGCTTCTTAAAACCTTCCTGAAAAGCATTTTAAGAATGCGTTTTTGGAATGTTCTTAGAAGGTTTATTATGGAGCTTCTAGGAAGCTTTTGAGAATATTTCCAAATATGTCGGATACCCACGTTCTAATATGTTGGATTCTACATTCGTAAAATTCTTCAGGAGGCGACAAATACGCGTCACTGTCATAATAATGTAATGAAATGTATTTGTCGTCCCCTTAAAAAATTTTGCGACATATTAATATATATTTATTTAAAAATATTAAATAAACAATTTGACGTCTAAACCATAAGTTGTATGACATTATTTCATAAAAAGTAAAATTGGAAAATTTTGTGGGATAAGTCAGATATCTGACTCTAATATTAGATTGAAGTTGAAGATAGTTAGGATTATTTTACATAAAAATGTTAATTCAGAAATAAAAAATCGGTACACAAATTAATAAATATTTATTTTTAACATAAAATAAAATATAAAAAAACCAAATAGTTCTTCATAAAAAAAACATTTTTCATTGTATTTAAGTTGGATAAAAGATTTTATGTAAAAGCCGGAAAATAGATACCTATAGTAAAAGTATTTTTGTTATCGAATATTGTTTTAATTTGTCAAATAACTTTTAAAAAATATTTTGGGTTGTGTTTTTACTTACTATTTAATACTAAGTATAGGTACCTTTATACGTAGATTATGTTATATTTTACTATTATATAGGTACCTAACTGAACTGAATATGCTTAACAGAATGTTCCAGGAATATTCCTAAATGAATTTACTATAGCAATTACTTTCTCAACATTCTAAGCATATGTTTAGAGTGGATTAATTTTTACCACTAAACTTTGCACCTTCTAAGAACCTGCCTATATATAGGCCTTAGGATTATGCTATATTTTTTTTAAGCATGTTCTTTAGAAAAAATATAGCATGATCCTAAGAATATTCTCACTGGAAGGTTTAACAAACATCCTTAGAATAAACTGTGCTATCATGATTGATATGACTGATCATTTAATTTCGCCGTAGTACCTACTACTAGTGCACTAGCTATCTAGTAGGCTACTAGATACTAGTGCACTTAACTAGATTTAACTGATAAAGCGTTAAAAATATCCTTATATCTTAATAAAATAACTTCAAAATTATATTTTGAAATTATTTTAATATTTTAAAGTTTCAATAATTGTTAAGTTTAATTAAAACAACAATAACGGGCAATGTTAATGGTACAAATGTTTATTGGGATGGTTACTATATTTTCGTATAGATGTCGCTTTACAAATATTTAACTTAAACCATTTTTTAAATATTATTAAGTAGGTATTTGTCGTAAAAAAAGTATAGTATGCAACTCGTTTATAAACTTTTCTAGGCACTCATTTAATTAAATTCGTGACTAATATGGTGTTTATCAAACTTGATACATAATAAAATATAAAGTATATAGGTACCTTAAGATAAAATGTTTTTGTCAAATTAATTTAACTAATAACCACATTTCCACACCTCTAAAAAATATTTTCTATGCATGTTTTTATTATGTGAACATACAAATAGAAATAGATGCATGCTTAAAACTTAACCAAGTATACGCATATAGGCGTTTGTAAATAAAATTTTTTTGAGGCAGGTCCCACAGTGGGACTCCCACTAGCCGCGTCGTATATTTAATACTTGTTAGGACAGGGCCGTAGCCAGTGGGATTTTGGGGATTTTAACATAGCATGCCGCGGCATTCTCCTAGATTGCGACAGAGAAGTCTCCAGATTGGTTAACCTTCCGATAGAAACACGCCAAAACGAAATAAATCCAGGAATATTTAATAAATATTATTTACATTCAACTATTAGCGTTCTATCAACGCTATAAGAGTATAGTAGGTTTTTGCCGCTTGGGTCTCCTCGAAAATATCGCCCGGTATAGAGACGGTTATTTGAAATAAAAAAATACAAAAATTATAAAATTTCGTTTTAAATTCTGTATTCCAGGTCCACTTTTTTGCCTGTTTTTAATTAGTCATTATTTAATTAATTACTGAGCTACAGTATGAAAAAATATAAACCTTTATCCGAAGATAATAATTTTAAAAATTACTGATAGGTATATAATAGTTTTTATATCTTATAAGATAATTAATATATATATTTAGACATTTCATATTTTTATGAATAGTTTTTACTAAAATGAATACAGTGTATACAATTATATTCTTATTAAGTTTAATTTCATGTAAGTATATAGGTACTTAGTGAAACAATCACAGTTAAGTTCTTTCCTTGGTCTGTACCTATAGGTAATATAGGTAGTATAGGTAGTATACTACTCTGTTCCTATACAGCGTGAGACGAATAATGTTTTGTGTTTATTAAACACATTGGTATACCTACCTAATTATTCGTAAGTAATATCATAAGGGCATTTAATTTTTCCGAAAAGAATCGAAAAAACACGTTGCTAAGTGATATTTTAACAAAAAGCATGAGTGCTGGTGGCAACAAAAATCCGAGTCGAAGAGGAGGATTTTTGCACCTGCACGAATGCTTTTTGTTAAAAAATATTACTTAGCATTGTGTTTTTTCGATTTTTTTCACAGGAAAAATTAGATGCCCGAATGGTATTTGACAAGACTATTTCATGAGTAACAGTTAACAATTAAAATATAAATTGCAATTTTTGGTGACAACAGCTGTCAAGTTTTGCCGCGGGTAAACTCGAATAAACTGCTGACAGGTGCTGTCACACAGTTTTTCCACCTAGAAACCATTTGTAATTCAAAATTGCGCGTTTGTGATTGGTCGAAATTAAGACGAGGGAAATAGTCTTTATTATCCGAGAATTTTATTGCTCGAACTGTCCGGATTAAAAAAAAGTTTATCCAATTAAAATTTGCATGTTTGTAGCATTTTAAAAAGTAAACACGAAGAAATTTTTTACTTCTGCATTTTTCTTTAATAATGGGTATTTCCACGAAACATTATCCCACCTTGACAAAAAATCCTATCTAAAGTCAAATAGTAATTTATAACCTGAAAACATTCTAATGCTAAGAAGCCACCTAAGAATAAACATGGAAGAGTTTCAATAATCGATAGAAAGTTCAAATGTCGCACCCGTTACATTTTAAATATAATTTCGAAAATAAAGTATACAATATTTGTGCATTTAAAATACGTGCTTGTTTGAGGTCACTATTTAAGTTTTACACAAAAAATTATCACTATTATAGTGATATATAGTCGCGCCCAAATCTGTATGGGTGCACGTCATCAACTTTTTTTTTCATAATTTTATAAAAAACCTTTTAAAATCAAGGAAATTGTTACAGTTTTTGGTAAACAATTCACTTATTGCTTTTATTTTCATCCAAAATTTTACAGGATCAACTTTGGAAGCCAACTTGGTCGCATTTGCCGATTTCGCGCCCCTAACGTGATTCATGACGTTATAAAATGTTTTCTATATAAGTTTTTTTTGACATTTTGTTAAATATCCCATTTTTTGTACTATTTTTGTATATTCACGTATCTTGATATATCTGAACAAACACTTTATTATCATGAAAAACGCAGTGTCAGTGTCTCACCCGTAACAATGGAAATACCCCAAGATTCATACACCTGAAATACCCTAACATTTTCTATATATAGTAATATCATTTTTCTTAGATATATCTATATATTAGGGTGGCCCAAAAAAAAAAGAATATTTTTTTTCTTCTCGTATCTTGTGAAAATATGTTGGTTTGTCATGTTTTAAGAGCCCTGTCAAAAGATCAGCTCGATTTTGTAGGGGTCGCTCAAGATTTTTAAAAATTTTCAAAATCGTCAAAAATTGAATTTTTGTTTTATTTTAATTCTTTTTCTCGTCTCGATATTATTTTTTAGGTTGAAAATAATAAAAATTCTGTAAATTTCAAATCAATATTTTGATTTCTAAAGGTCGCTAAAAGTTTGTTGATATTTATATTCAGAGGTCGCTCGAAAACATTCAAAATACTCTACTTTGAAAGTTAAAAAAATCTTGAGCGACCTTTAGATTTGAAATTTTCAGAATCATTATTATTTTTAAATAAAAAAATAATATCGGAACAAGAAAAATTAAAATAAAAAAAAATCCAATTTTTGACGATTTTGGTAATTTTTAAAAATCTTGAGCGACCCCTAAAAAATTTTTAATGATGCTGATCTTTTGACATGACAAACCAACATATTTTCTCAAGAGACGAGAAGAAAAAAATATATTCTTTTTTTTTGGGCCACCCTACTATACTATATACTATACTATACTATATATATATTAGGGTGTGCCAAAAAAAGAGTTATTTTTTTTTCATGCTCTCACCCCAAAATCTCTCAGAGAATGCTCAAATAAAGCTTCTGTTAAAAGCAGAGATCCATATTCAAATTTTAAGAGGTTCTCCATCGAACTTTAAGTTTTTCCGTCTAAATAACATGGAAAACATGTTTTTTTTGACACTTTTTTGTCCTGCAAGGTGTGAAATTTTTTTTTTTTATGAAAATACATAAATGGACCTTTTTTATCATTAAATTTACTACCAAAAGTTCTATGAAGTCAAATTTTTATCTTCAATACTTGATTTTTGACAGAGCTTTAAACTTCAAATTATGATGAGTTCTTTCTACTTACTATTTTTTGTGTATGCCAAAATTAAAATTTTGAGAATGATGTCGAATTATAATAATTATTCATATTGCGTACGTAAAGTATGTTTAACATTATTGTCTTCTTTTTCTTTTTACTCTTTTTTATTATTCCACAATCTGACATTGTATCAGTATGCAAAAATAGATCCTATGCAATAATAGTATAGGACCTATTTATACCTGCTTAAAGCTCACATATTTGGAACAAAATATTACACCTATTAAATAATTTTCATTGAAATAAATAAAGAAGAAATAATTTAATTGGAAAAAAGTAAGGTTACCTTAATTATTTTGGCAGGTGTTAGGTAGGCGACTATAATGATTTTGGAATAAGCACAAAAAGACACTTTTCAGCCGCATGTCATACATTTTATCTTTAAGAGAAAATTGTACTTGCTAAGCGATACAACGTACAATTATAATAATTATTATTAAAAGTAAAAAGTGAGGCTAGGTAGATCTGACAGTTATCGATTTTTTGATTGGTCCAACGGGATTTTTACAGCCTAGTAGAGATTGTTGAATAATATAAAGTTTATTTAAATAATATTTATATTATAGAACGTTTGAAGATAATAGCATTGAGTAAGGAAGTTGGGTTGGGATTACTCAATGATAATAGTATATTATTATACGAGAGATAATGAAGACTATTATTCATGAAGATGAGGTTTGCGTCTCGAGTTGCTAGACGAGAGACTAATGCGAGTGAATAATGCGCATAATAAGTAGATAATTAAATGATTTTCAAAAATAATTAAATAAAATCTGACATCTGTCAAATGGTTAACCACACTTTTTACCATTTTTAAATGTTATTATAGTCGCCTTCTCCCAATTTAAAACCCGATTGGTTCAAATCCCAGTGAATATTGAAATCTGCCAATCACTGATGCCTAAAAACGTGAATAATGAGTTCATTATTCTTGTTATTAGGCAGGGATTTATAATGTTAAATTTTAAAAATTCAATATTCAACGAATAATAAATCATTATAACTTGTTTTTATATCTTAGCTTTAATTGCCTTAAAATGCTTTACTGGCGATTCAGTTCGGAAAACAGAAACTTGTGGTGAAGAAAATGAAAAATCGGCGTGTTATACGCTACAAAGAATGAACGGTAACAGTTAAGTACATTTTATTTTTTAATTATAATATATTTTTTATTATTTTATATTTATTTTAGGGAACATAACTAGAGGTTGTCATATTTTCGATAAAGATGTAGACGGGTGTAAAGTTTTAACTGAAAAATATGGACCTAATACAACCGATTGCCAAATTTGTTTTAATGACTATTGTAATCAAGCGGGTTTAAATAGTAAGTAAGCAAATTGATGGTTTAGGTCATAATAATAATAATTAATAGGTAGGCCTACCGGTACTTGTCGGGAAAATAATTTGGATGGTTTTTTAGTTTTTGAGTCGTTAAGTATTTAACTTCTGGTGTTTCACACCCAAGAGTCCAACCACGTGACTTATAAGGTCTTAATTTAGAACAGAAAAATACATAGTATTGATATTGTATTATTTTTAGAAAATAAAATGAAATCAGCTTGACAAATCACATCCTGGGTGGGATAAATATTAGATATACAAAATTTTGAGTGGGGTTTTTAGTGAAATACATCTAAGAGTAAAATGAAATTATAAAGAAGCTTGTTAGAATTTTTAAAAAAATCTTAAAATACAACTGTTTCTTAAATTTCAATATGGTACATAACATTTGACATGGCATATAATATATTATATATAACATATTATGTAATTTAAATATTAGGTACTGCTGCTTAAATACTTTTTGTTTGATTGATTTATCTCATCATCTTTAAGAACCTGTTCTATTTTCTAAATTAAGTTCAAGTTTAATATTTAAAAATAGTAATACATCGTAATTGGCTGTCAAATAGGATACATATAGCGTGTTAAAATTCCATTAAGAACGGGTAGTTTATAAATAGAATTTAAATATACACACCAAAGCATTGGTGTAGTTAAAAAATCTCTTTTTTTAATAATTAATTATTATAACAATTGTTGCTTAAATGAATTAAGGATAATTATTATTATACAGGTTGGTGTAAATTTTATTTCTCAACATTGGCATCTCATAAACCTTAAGAGAAACGAACTTAAATTTCAAAAAAGTTTAGGACCATATTAAATATGTAAAAAAATCTAGGATACCTTCGACCGATTCTAAAATATCCCAAAAAAACTGCGAGAGTCCAATTAAAAAATCCCCCACAATTTTTTTTCTATTGCAAATATCAAATATTAATTTGAAATTTAAAATTTTGTCACTGTTTGAAATGACATGTCTGATGACATCTTTATGCCACTACTTTTTCAGATATTACGGCCTTTACAACAATGTAACACACTTGTTACATTTTGTTTGATTATTATTGAAAAAAAAAATTCCACTAAAAAATCAAGTTGCTTTGCTTTGCTTTTTCAAATACCTAATACCATGTTGGCATGTGTCACAATATCTAGATTTCAAGACTTGGCAAGAAAAATATTTAATCAAAATAATTCTTACCGCCTTTTTTCAAGTTGACTGTTTTCGCTGTTGCTTTGTTTTGTTGTTTGTTGCCTGTTTCACAGTATTTGAGTTTGTTTATCTGTAATGACAAACACAAACATGACGTAGGTGTTTAAAAAAAGCAAGGCAACTTGATTTTTTAAGTGGAATTTTTACTTTTATATATTTTTTCAATAATACTCAAACAAAAATTATACAAGTGTGTTACATCATTGTAAAGAGAAAAAGTTATAAAGGATTTTTTAAATTGGACTTATTCAGTTTTTTTAGGATATTTCAGAATTAGGGAAAGGTATCCTAGATTTTTTTACATATTTGAAATAGCTGAACTTTTTAATTTAACCAACCATCTAGGTATTACGGTTCATGAGATGCCAATAGTGGAAAATGAAATTCGCAGTCAACTTTCGGAAAAAAAGTCTGTTTTCGAAAAAAATTGACCATAATCATTTGTTTTGTATGTTTGTAGTTTGGGCTCATTAGAAAAGCTCAACCCAACCTTTAAGGATTGAGGATAAAAATAAAAGGAGAGAAATGGTCATAATATTTTTAGTATTTGTTTGATAGTTGCAGTTGACGGTAGCAAATTTTAACAGTAGTCTACACAGTGCATGACTTTGTAACGAGCTTATGAGCTGTTATTAGTCGCTGCCCTTTCGCTATATAGCAATAGACTAATTGAATTAGTCATTTTTGACTGATTCTATTTTAAAGAGTATACTCTTGAAAAAAGGAATTAGTGAAAAATGATTAATTCAATTAGTCTAATTGCTATAGAGAAAAAGCAGCGACTAATAACACTAGTTTACAACATCGAAAAAAAATTCTGTCCACCATATTTCATTTTAGTTTTCCCATGTATTTTGACCCACTAAACACGAAAATCACCCTCATAGGTATTTTTTGTATGGAAGCGTTTTTAAAATATGAATTTTCAAATGTTTTTTTTCAATTTTGTGTTTTGACGTTTTTGAGTATAGCTTGAAATCTAATTGAACGATTTCTTTTACATACTTTTGATATCGGATAAGTATTTTGATGCTACCGATTTTAATAACTTAATAAAATCGTTTTTATGGCAAAAATTGAGGTCGAAATTTACATATCGTCCTGGGAAAGGTTTAAATCAAACAGATAACTCCAGTTTGATTTTTTTTTTCGTGAAGGACTTTTTCAACTAAATAAAATCGCTAACATCGAACTACTGGGCTGATGCCGAAACTATAGTTTCATAGCATATATGGGGCAAAATTTGCCAAGTGTACCAGGTGAAAAAAATTTTGTCACCGATTTTGTTTAAACTTTACTTATTTGTTGTTCTTATAACGAAGAATCATAGCATAAATATTTTTTGCTCTAGGATTGTTCATTCAAGAGTTATGGATTATTGAAATTTATCGATTTTTTACTTTTTGGTGAAATCGCTTTTTATTTAAAAATTCATAACTTCTGTTCATCTCTTTATAAAATATTTCAATTTAACCACCTTAAATGATTTTTTCCGTACTTATCAATGGGCTATACCGTTTTTGCAAAAAAATAAAAATTGCAATTTTTTTTGAAATTTTGCAAAATTTTGCATTTTTTTAAACAATGTGTATTTTTTAATTTTTTTTAAAATAGCATAAAATCCAAGTTTATTATGTTACATTTGAATAAAAAAAAAATTTAGAGTGGGCCCGACATGTAGAAGGGAAGTTTTTCATATTTGAATGCCGCACGGTCTAGCTATCGAATAGCTACTACACTGCCGTATGCGTTTATACCTAGTAGATGCGAGTAAACGAGTACAAAATGATAATTTAAATTGTAAAATTATTTTTGAGTAGTCAATGATGTATTTTAAATATTTACACTGCCGCACGATATAGTTTTTTTATTGTGTATTAGTCCTTCGGAGGGGACTTTAAGCCCGCGGTCCGTTCCTACCCCTAACCCGCACAAGTCATTCAGCTGGCTTATGGGACTTCTTAAGAAGTAAGGGTGGAACTAAAAAAACACTTTTGTATATAAACTGTATTTTTTTGCACAAATTGTTTAAGCATGGGTCTACATAGATTTCGCAAGGAGGGTCTATGGTATTAAATAAAAAAATGTATTGTTATAACCGTAAAGGCGCCATTCAGCTTATAGGCAAGCCGTTACGGTTATAACAATAAATTTTTATTTAATATCATCGATCCTCCTTGCGAAATCTATGTAGACCCATGCTTAAACAATTTGTGCAAAAAAATACAGTTAAAAAACTATATCGTGCGGCAGTGTAAATATTTAAAATACATCATTGACTACTCAAACATAATTTTACATTTTAAATTATCATTTTGTATTCGTTTACTCGCATCTACTAGGTATAAACGCATACGGCAGTGTAGTAGGTATTCGATGGCTAGACCGTGCGGCATTCAAATATGAAAAACTTCCCTTCTACATGTCGGGCCCACTTTAAATTTTTTTTATTCAAAGGTAACATAATAAACTTGGATTTTATGCTATTTAAAAAAAAATTAAAAAATACACATTGTTTCAAAAAATGCAAAATTTTGCAAAATTTCCAAAAAAAATTGCAATTTTTATTTTTTTGCAAAAACGGTATAGCCCATTGAAAAGTACGGAAAAAATCATTTAAGATGGTTAAATTGAAATATTTAATAAAGAGATGAAGAGAAGTTATGAATTTTTAAATAAAAAGCGATTTCACCAAAAAGTAAAAAATCGATAAATTTCAATAATCCATAACTCTTGAATGAACAATCCTAGAGCAAAAAAAATTTATGCTATGATTCTTCGTTATAAGAACAACAAATAAGTAAAGTTTAAACAAAATCGGTGACAAAAATTTTTTCACCTGGTACACTTGGTAAATTTTGCCCCATATACAAGAGAAAGTTGTAGAGGGCTCAATTACCTTTATATATAAATCGATCAATTAGAACTCGAAGTATACTCTAAAACGTCAAAACCTCAGAAAATTAAAAAAAAACAATTGAAAATGTATATCTCGAAAACGCTTCCATGAAAAAAGTGTGATTTTCGCGTTTAGTGAGCCAAATTACAGAAGTAAATCATAGTAAGACATGGTGGGCAAAATGACTGTAAACTATTATAATTATCGTCCATAGCAATTTGTATCCCGGACATTTATCAGTCAACTCCTATGTAAAATTGTCCGCTGAATCCGAAAATGTCAAAAGTTATAACTAAAGTACACTGTTCAAAATCAAGCCTTTTGAAATACCTAATCAGAATTAGTTAAGGAAAAATAAGGTAATATGCTTAAACGAGTAAAGCAATTTACCTTCTCGTTTATTAGGCAGAAACGAATGCCTTAGTTCTATGGTGTATTCACTAACTTCTAGATAAATATTCATACTTTACTTAATAAACTTGTCAAATTTAAAAAGATAGGCAGATTACCTAAATATTTAGTCAAAATCTCAATTACTTTTAGGTACGACAACTTTGCTTTTAATTTAGGTAATTATTCTAAATTATTATGGCAAATTATTGAACTAATTTAGGTAAATTCCTTTAAATATTAGTGACTTACTTGCAATCGGCTACGATCGCTAATACCGACGTTTTACGATAAATATTCGCGCCTATATTGTCCACCAGAATGCCAAAATCAACGAAAGCTTAAAGACCGCGTTGTGTGCTATTGATATAACAACATAGGTAACAATAATTATTATTGTGCTATAAGTGAACATTTTGTATACAATAGTGCTATAGTTAAGTAATCAAAAGTAAATGGAATTTCCCATTGACCCCAATTTATTTTTAAATAATTATTTAAAGGGTTCCGGTACTACATGTAGTACCGGAACCGCTGTTATTAATTCGCCTAGGACATAAAGATGAAGGAGTCCTAACTTGGAAGAAAATTCCTATGCTAGGATTTTCACTAAAAAATATATAATTTGTCTGAAAACTTAAAGAATAAATTTTCTGTTTCTAAAGCAATCTACCTAAAAATTTAAGCAAATTGCTTTAGAAACAGAAAATTTATTCTTTTATTCACAGGCAATATCCCTTACGATCTAAAGTGTATCATCTTTGAAACCTAAGTAATGTTGCTTAATTAATTGTATCATTTTCTTTAAAAATATCAGTTAAAGAATTCACTAATTTAAAAGGGGAATATTCCTCTGAATTCATTTCAGACAGTTCGCCTTAAAAAATCAATGGTCCTATATAGTCTAATAATTTAGGTAAAAATTAGCTTAAATTTTGAACAGTGTAGAACGTTTTTGAGATTAAGTAAATTTTCCATAAAATGTGGAATTGACTATACATATCTTAAAAACTGCTTTAATTTCATAATTTTTAACAGTATTTTCGGATTCAGGGGACAATTTTACATAATCATAGGCTGTTAAATGTCCGGGATACAAATTGCTGTGGACTAAAGTTATTAGTGACTGCTTTTTAACTTCGAAAACTAGTCATTTTGACTAATTCATTTTGTAATTGATTTTGTTTGTTTGGTAATTCAATAAATATTTGTTATATTAATTAAAGCGTTTTTTTACATTTTCAATTACATATTGCCAGTTTGTCGCAAAATATATATTTTTTAAATTTAAGGGCTTAAAATTAAAATATTTAATGTATTATATTTAAATATAAAAGGGGCGCACCAACGCATGCTGCACGTAGGCGCCAGACACCCCAGGAACGGGCCTGTATTGACCCCAAAAATGCACTTCAAAAGTTAAGGGTTGAGAATTCCTTTCCTTCTTACTCGTTAAAAAACTTGACAATCTGCATTTAAAAGATAAGCTTAACAAAGATCGTTTCAAAATATTTTGAACATATGTTTTAAAACTTAGCTACTAAAAATTGAAATTTCTTTACCTTCTTGATATTTTTCATTTTTTTTATTTTAGTTGCTCTATCTTGTTTTGGTTGTCCCAGCGATAAGGGCGATGAAGTAGAAAAATGTTTGACACCAAGGGAATCTGCCGAACATTGCACTACCGAAGAAAACAAATCACCGTATTGCTTCATAGCTAAACTTGAAAAGGGTATTTAAACAATAATAAGCAAAAAATAAAATAAAAATATAAACTTCCATTTAGGTACTTACAGAAGCTGCAAGAATTTTGGTGAAGATGTTCCAGACAAATGCGAGCTTTTAAGGGAAATATATCAAAAACAGAAAACCCAAATTTTAGAATGCGAAACTTGTAAAACATTCATGTGTAATAATAAGGTTTATGGAAGTGAAAGTTCCGCTAAAAATATTTTTTCAAATTTACTCATTTTTCATGAAATATTCATGTATATATTTATTAAAATAACTGGAATTTAATAAATTCATCTTAGCCACACTGTATTTCACTTTTTTAATGTATCAAAAATAAGTAAAAAGTTTTCCAAAAAACATGGGATCCCTTTTTGTAGAGCATTCAATTCCCTAACAATCTGTTTATTGGGCTTTATAATTATTTGTTTAACAAATCTCACTATAGGACTAATGTGACAAGGGAAAATTGCAATAAGGAGGATCTTACTCTTAATAGTAAGAGCTCATACGTAGATATGCTTCTTTTGAGGTGCCCAGCAACCAATTTCAATATCATATGTTAAAAAAAAAATTGTAGATATTTTGAATCACCCTAATGTATACGTATTTTTTGCTTACATTTTTAAACTTTTTCAATGGTAAAGAGTACTGACTTACTTAGTTTTTGAGACATTAAAAAAATGGAATACAGTTTGGCTCTGGGGTTTAGATATTAGTGGTAGTGGTAGAGAAAGGAGTTTTAATGTTTAAAATTAAATATAGTATTATACCTAAATAAATTGTATTATTACTTTAGTGGATACTAAAAACCTTAACCATCTGATATAAATTATAACATTGATTTTTTGAAGTAGGTAAAGCAAAAGTCCCTTATTTTGGATAAATTGGGTGCCTATATCCGGATAAATTTATAAATGTATAAGAATATTTAAGTATGAATATTAAAAATATAAAACTGACTAGCTGGCAATACAGTATAGTTATTTATGTCATTAGGCCAAGAAGTGAGTCTTTTTATGCTCTCGAAGTTTAAAGGCCGACTCGTAGAGGAGGCCTCCAATTAAGCGAAGCACAAAAAGACACGTCTCAGCCGAATGGCATACAATATTTTATCTTCAAGGCACAATTTTATTTGCTAAGCGATACATAAAACGTATAATAGACCTAGAAGTAGTCCAATTTAGTTATTGGTTAAAAGTAGTAAATATTTATTTTTTACGGTCTAGGCCATAAATAACCTAACCCCTAACACCCTATATAATATTGCCTATGATTAATAATCATTAGGGCTGTACAATTTAGCTGGCAGCTTAACCGGTTAATCTAGCTTAGGTCGGCTAATTAGCTAACCGGCTAAACGGCTATTTTTTTTAAAGCTATTTAATGATTTAATTAATTTAAAAGCCATTTTTATAAATCAAAATAAAATGTAAAATATTATTTAATCTAATAAATTACTATATTATTGTTTGTCATAAAAGCACGATCAATATTTTTTTAACCTGTCCGTAAATAAGAAATCATTATATAGCTTAAAAAAATTAGCCGGTTAGCCTTTAGCTAATTAGCTGAGCTAAGCTAGATTAACCGGTTAAGCCCCATCTAATTAGCTAAGTTAATTTAGTTAACCGGTTAAATTAGCCAAGCTGGTCAGTTAGCTAACTTTTTTAGCCGGCTTAACCGGCTAAATTGTACAGCCCTAAAAATCATTATAATAATGATTAAGTAAGCCTTCCAAGATAAGCATAATCAATGATTATAAAAATTGATTATGCTTATCTTGTAGGTACTTCCAATTTCAGCATTTTTATGTTTCATACAATCCGGTCTCTATAGAGATATACTTATTATAATCAAGTTAATAATAAGGTAAGTAGGGGTAATTGTGTTCTAGTTTTTGAATAGTTCAATATGAATTAACTTTAAGTTGTAAACATTGCATGCAGGCAGAAAATTGCAAAAAATACGGTAGGTGTATGGTTTTGTTACAAATGGCGCCAATTATTGAACAAGGTGACAATATAAAGAAAAAAGTATTGGTACTTTTTAAAAACATGTCACTATGTCACATTTGCCCCACCATTTGGGGCTAATGTGATAACTGAATGCAAAATCCCATTGGAATATTGGCTGGGGTAATTGTAAGATTAGGCTCCTTTTTCTATAGATTTTGTTAATTTTGCTCACAAAACTAAATAGTTATGAAATATTATAAAAAATACCGTCTTTAACTTGAGTTTTAAGTTAGAAATGATTAGAATTATTATGCGATCACTGTACAATGTATCACATTTACCCCCATTAACCTTACTAAAACTTCTTTCACCCAAATTATAAATAACTGACATTGAATTTGAATTAATTCTTGAGATAATAAATTTCATTTTTGCAATCACCCAAACACTAGGTTTATTGTCTTTTTAATGTTTTATTTTATAAGTAGTAAAAAACTTTTGAAATAGTAACACACTTAAGTGTGTAGGTAATTATTACCTGGTACAGTTAGTATTCAAGGTTAAGTTACATATATTCTTACATGAAATTCCCGAAAATTATCTGAAACAATATTTATTTATTCTACAAAAATGTTTTTAAGGTTGGTCTAATTATTAAATCAATTTTAATTATACATAATTAGGGTTACTAATTAAAAATGCGATTAGTTTTAACTTTAATAATTGTTTAAGCAACGTTTGTAGTAAGTATTTTTTATTTGCAAAATAATTTTATTAAAAATAAAATCAAGCAATAAATAATAATTTTAACTCACCCCTGTAAAATCTTTATTTATTGTGCGATTTAAACGGATTTGTTTTAAAGTGTAGATCTTGATAAACTGTATTTTTAAATAAAAAAAAAACATATTTTTACAAAATTCGAGGCCTACTATGTCAGTTTTTTAAAGTAAATTTTTAAGAAATCATATTAGCGATTTAAAAAAAGTCCATGCACGGCACTGGTGAATCCACCCCTTAAAACGACCCTATACTAAATTTTATTGACTAATTTTAAGTAGGAACGATTTTGTAGCTAAATTAAAAATGTAGAATAACTACTATTTTCAAAAATTTATTCTGCCAAGTTATCTATGAAAAACCTTAACTAGGGTCGTTTTGGGGGTGTTAAATCCAGTGCCGTGCATAGATTATTTTTGCTCCAAAAATACAGTTTATCAAGATCTACATCTAAAAACAAATCCGGTTAAAATCGCACAATAAATAAAGATTTTACAGGGGTGGGTCGCAAACAAGTGGGTCGCACTGTATATCATATTTTAAAAATATTCTTTTAAATTCGCATTTACGATACCTACGATATTTATTTATTTTAATTACCTACCTTATGTTTTTACTATAGAGGTGCGAATAGTGTTCAAAACAAATCGATTCGAAATCAATAATTCGAATGGTTTGAAGAGTTCAAATTATTCGAACACAACTGCTGTTCAAAATTTAAAAATTTTAAAAATAACGCATGTAATACATGTATTACATGTATGTATAAAAACATCTGTCAACAATGTCAACCTCAGCTGCCTAAAATGTTTCCATTACAACCATGTGTAATTTACACAGACTGTGGTAATTTAAGGGCATCGATAAGGGGGTAATTACCCCCCCAAGATAGGCTCTTGTGAAACTTATGCATATAAGAATATACATTTTATTCTAGTTTATAGTTTTTTAAAAAGATTACAAGTAGAATATACATATTTTTATGTTTATTAATTAATTTGTATTATTATAATTTTGTTTTTATTAACTAATTTAAACTTTTTATTTTTCATTTTAAGGAAAATATTTACCTTTCAAACACACCTTGTATTTTATTTCGGCGCTACCAAATATTTACATCAATAATATTTTAATTACTGTACAACATAGACTATTAACATACCTTTCTGCCGTTTGGGTGGGGGCATATTTAAACAAAGTAGCTATTTGTTAGAAAAATTGTTACAAAATCTGGCCAACCGATGTCCGAAAATTTTCGCGGCAGTGTTTTGTTTCTTTTTAGTGATTGTTCATCTAGTGGTTGACGACAACAATTGAAAGTGTTAAATGAATTAAAAGTTGGTCAACATGATCGAGACCAAAGTAGCAGTGGTGATTTTTGTGGTTTTTGGAACTATTAAGTTAGGTAAATATAATTTTAGTAAGAAGTTGTGTACCAAACCAAAAAATTGTTATTTTTTAATTTAAATTAACAAATTCTTAATACCACATTGTGAAGAAGGAAATTAAAATCTTTTTTATTTATGACGAAACAAACAAAATCAAATTTAAAGAAAACATAAAAACAAAACAAACTAAAAATTATATTTATGCCGATTTCTTAAAAGGTAAACAGAATTTGTTTTATTAAATAACAAAAAAATATAATAAGTTAAAGTTTTTATTTTTTAACACTGTTTTAACTGTCATAAAACACATCTGTCAATCATGTTAAATTTAGCTAGCTGCAGATGCCTTGTTTATTTTATTTCCATAACAACAGTGTTTAATTGTGTGATATTTCGGCTTAGGAAAGGCACACAAAATAAATGAGAAATAGTAAATTATCTAACAGACGGAGAAAGCTATATTTAAAGCCAAGCTCAGTGTTCGCTGCCGAGGCTGCAGATCTAAGCGAGGCAGTTAATATGGTTTCTCCGCCGTGTTGTATATGAAAATTTTTTTCAAGCATTTAATAATTCTGTACTTATATTGAAATTATCGAGTTTGCGACATTTTGTCAGGTTTGAGTTTTGACATATTTTATATTATAACCTATAATTTATAGGTTATGTACATGGATTTATTTTGCAGTGACTTACAAGTTTACATTTTCTTTGCTGATTTCATGCCAAACGCGATAAATGGAACCACTCTTCCTTAGTACCTAATTTCAATGTATTTTTATTATTGTACGGCGGTGTATAATAATTTGACTTTTGAAGTGCCTACAAACATTAGTCTGTGGTTATATGCTTGAAAAAAAATGTATTTACAAATGTAAACTTTTTAACTTTTTTATTGAAAAATCAATATAAATTTGTGCTTGACAAATTGTTTTAAAATATATTAAAAAATAAAATAAAAAAATATATATATAACATTCAAAAACTACTGCTATATATCAAAACTACAGATTTTTCCTTTAATATTGAATGTTGCTATTTTTATATTTGTTGTTAATTAGCTAAATAGCAATATTGCTAAATATTGACTTTTATTATTATTATTCAATCCAGACTTTTAATAATGAACTAAAAATTTTAGTATTAAACTATACTGCTACTAAGAGTAAGTAACAACAAAAATGTTTGACCTATGTAGAAAAATTAGTTTTCTAAAATAAAACATTAACAATTAAAATTATTAAATAATGATTACACATTAAATTTTCATTAGGGTGTTTTTTATTTTCGAACAATATTTTTTTTCACTCACGTCTCAAAATGTTGTAACAATAAAAAAATAATACCCTGTAAGTTTAAGCTCTTTATATTAATATTAAAGCGTCGAGAGATGTCATAGGTATTAAATATTCACTTAAACCTAATTTGTTTTTTTTCAAATTTCGTTAAAAAAGCATTTTGCTAAGAATTAAACGATCTACAAAAGTGCCCATTGCAACGCAAATTTAACGAAACCAAGGTGTGGTAAGCCTCTACGGGCCCTAAACTTAATTTTTGTATAACATTTTTCGAAAATAAAAAACATGCAGGATGTTACTTAAGAATGTACGATACATTACATACGTCCACAACTACTTACATCATTTACATTTTTGACCAAATATATTAAAATTGAAAGGGTTTCACGTAATATTTTTTTTCAGTTAAAAATTTTAAAATACATATAGGTTATAATTTAAAAAAAAAATGAGAAATTCACAAAAAATTTCTCAGATGTTCGCTCAGGAAAAACCATTTATTTTTGTTAATTTTTTTTTATAAAAATATGGTTTTATTTTTTGAACTATTTTAATTTTAATTTTTTATTTGTAAACTATATTTTTTAGGTAATTGTATACGTTGCTACGAGTGTAGTGCAACATTAGGCCCAAGTGACAATGATCCCTGTTACTATGGTGATGAGTCCCGATTAAGGAGAGTTCACTGTATCGGACCCTCGGTTTGTGGCACATACCACTATGAAAGTAAGAACTTTTTGTAAATTTTTGGCACCTAATTTTTGACTTTAAGAATACTGTATTTTAACCCTAAGCACAGGTTGTATTGTCATACTTCAGGAAATTGTAAAATAAATATTTTTTAGAAATCCATCCAAGGTCTCCAGTAGAGTATCACGTAACCAGAGGGTGTCAATCTGTGAGCTACGGGTCGACTTGTGAAGATATTTTTAACAATTTAAGGGCCCAAAAGGCGATTTTGCCAGGACAGCATTCTTGCACGACTTGCAGTTCGGATTACTGCAATTCCTCCATTAAAATTAATACAAATAATGTTTTAAGTATTATATCACTTTTTTATGCTGTTAAATTGTTACTTTTGTAATTTAAAAAAATTTTTTTATAGGCAATTCAAATGATTTATATTTAGGTTAATGCTCATTTTGCCGCGGAATTTCTTCTTCATTTTATTTATGTAACCCAGATTCATCTCGACTTTATGTTTGTGTTACAATAAAAGTTAATTACCTTTTACTTTTTAATTTTTATTAACTTACTTACCTAATACATAATAAAATTTCTATTCCGTTGACATTTTTATAACAACAAATATAATAGTATCATTGACTCGACTAATACAGGGTGTCCTGAAAATGGCGTACTGACGCCAAAAAGTACATTTGAGTTATTAAAAAATTTAATTTAAAGTCTGTGTATATCATAAAAACATTGAGTAAAGAACTCAATGATAAAAATAAATCAAGTAAGACAGACATGATGTAGAATAAATAAAAAAAATGTATTTAATATTTAAGTTTAAAAAAAAAACTATCTATTTTAAAATTTTAATAGAAGGTATTTTTTTAATAAAGATTTACTCGACCTCTACAAAGGCTTACTTACGGACAATTGGTCGTCACCCTAATATAATGTTTAAAAACCGAAAAGTTTGAGTTTATGCTTCTACAAGGTTTTATGTAATCCACCCTTGACAAACAACTTTTAAATAACTATATATATGTATACATAGAATATACATTCTATAGAATATTTAAGTGGTATGTAAAGCGTAGGCCACGTATAATCCTGTAGAAACATAGACTTAAATTTGTGGTTTTTTTTTAACATACAACCTTGTTATATTAGGGTGACGCGTCATGACGTGGTTTCAATAGATATTTAAAAAATGAGTAAAAAACATTTTATATCAAGCTAATTGTATTTATTGTTTAATTTACAAGATTGCATAAAATAAACCTACAACAAAAATAACAAAAAATGATGGAACTATTGATGTGGTTGAGTTGCAAAAATTTTTATTCCTGCATTCATTGCATTCAAGTAACTGGCTGAGAGGTGTATTGTAATATAATTGCAAGTTTGAACAAAATCCCGGTTGATCGCATTGTCTGTTCACGAACTTCTTTCCTTGCACTAAAATAAAATATTTTAATTTATTATATCAAAGAAATCAAAAACAAGAAAGCAAGTTCCATTTCGCAACCCCAATATAACAGGTGAAGAGCATTAAGTTGTAAGAAAATTGAACTGTTGTTTTTGATTATTTTTAACAACTCCCCTTATTAAAAATAATTATTATTTAAAAATAATTATTATTTAAAAATAATTATTATTTATAAATGTATACATATAAATACGAGGTGTGTTCAGAAAATATCGGGAATTTTCGTTTTTTGAAACAAATATTTATTTATTCGTCTACATTAATGTTGTCGCTTTCAAAATAGTCCCCATTGGATATTATGCACGTGCCAGCTCTTCTTCCAATACTCGAAACACTTCTAAAACTCGATCTTTGGGATAGCCTTTAGTTCTTTCAGCGATGTCATCTATGCTTGCAAAACGACGGCCCTTTAAGGTTCTCTTTATTTTTGGGAATAGGAAAAAGTCAGACAGAGGCATGTCTGGCAAATATGGAGGCTGGGGCATCATTACAGTATTCTTTTGGCCAAAAATTTTGTTCAAAATTTACCAATTTTCATACCCAAAACATTTAAAAAAAAATTTATGGGATGAGCCAATCGATATACCAACATCATCAGCGACTTCTCTGATGGTTTATAACCATTTATTCCACTTTTTCCATGTTTTTATCGGTTGTTAATGTGCTTGTGCGTTCGGGGCGTTCGTCATCTTCAACGTCTTCACGGCCATCTTGTTTTACTTATAGCAGACTCACTATAGGGCTTTGTTAACATTTCACAGAATTTATTTTATTATTTTAAGCAAAATTGGATACAAATTCTTTGATCCATTTTAACGAACGAAAAATCGCCGAGCTCATAAAACACGTCTAACCTTAGCGGCTGCCACAGACAAAGTAAACAATGAAAACAGCTAAAGTTTTTATTATACTTCGGGGGCATGTATACCAACATAATAAAGCAAATTTTATGACAACCGGACCCTCCAAACCCGCGAAATTTAACAATTCCCGTTATTTTCTAAACACACCTCGTTTATGTAAATATTACATTTTGTTGACTCCAACGTTATTGTTGTTTTTTATGATCAAAAAATTAAATTTAATTTAGCTTATACCGTGTGTTTTACATTCGTGGTCCATTAGAAGTTTCTGGGGATCCCTTGCCTGCCTCCGTAGCAAATTATTTGCTGCAAATATGCTACAAGAAATATGGAATGTCGATGTGAAGCCGTAATTAGAAGTAGAGGCGGAAATACAATCGTTATTTTTAAATTTTTTAATAAACTGGAGTTCTTTAATATTTAACTGTATATTTCTTTTAAAAATAAAGATAACGCGGTGAATTAAAAAACAAAATGTTAGGAGAATATGGGGCTATATTTTTATTATAAGTGACATATGCTGTTATAGCTGGTACAACCCACAGGGCGTTACAAATGTACAGGAAAAAACTTATTATTACTCTTGCACACTGTATATACTCAAAACGTAAATTTTAAAAAATATTTAAATAAAGGCATCATAACCAAAAAATAAACCTACAAATTAAAACAAAAACTACCAAATTCGGTTTGACGGTTCGCGAGAAAATCAACTTTAAAATTGGTGGTGCGTTAAATTTGACGCGAAGTGTAATATATTTTGATGAAAAATGTTGTACCTTTAAAGGTCACATCTTTTATATGCTTCCATATACTATTTGCAATACCTGTTTAAAATTGTTTTTTATATCTTACCATGTGTAACATATTTTACACAAACCGAGTCGGTGTTTGGACATAACATTTTTTTATTTTCCTCGTATTTTTCGTTAAAATACAGGCAATCATAGTTACTACTTGTATCATCCAAAGAAGCACTACATGAATAACATTCCAAACTCAATCCTAAAATTATTATTTAATTATTTTGAACCATAATTATTACTTTCTATTACCTTTTTCAATACAAAAAACACTAAAAATAAAAAGCAAACTAAATGTTGCCCGGGACATTTTTTATAATCTGCGAAATTTTACTCACTAAAATCTCCGCAATAAAAAACTAATATTTTATATAAAAAAAATCTATTTGTTTTTCGTCATTTATTATCAAGATAGAAAAACATAAGCCAATGCCAAAACAACAACGGAAAATAAACATAATAGGTACAATGTCAGAATCGTAAACGTTGCAAATTTCAAAAAAATTACAAATAAAGTGAATTGTATATTTTGACCATTTTCGCTGCAGCTTATTTAAATGGCTGATATACAATGTCAAAAGCAAACATTTATCTATTAATTAATATTGTTAAATAGTAGAAAACTTAAAAAAGTAACAATTAAAGTAAAGGCGGTCAATTGAATATTTTGGGCATTGCTGGAAATAAGCTTTTTGTTGCAGTTGTCTCCTTGACATACTTCGATGGCTGATAATGTTTCACCGGCAAGTTGATTTTGTTCTTTTAAATACTCCAATTTATTTTCAATTTCTATGGCGAACGACTCACACCCTCTGTATACGCCATCTCTAGATGCTAAAAAAAAAAGATTTATTAAAAAGGTAAAATAATTTTATGCAGAAACAATTGTTAAGAATTCCCATAAGATTTTGAAAATTTTCAGAATATTCAAAATTTACAAAAATAACAAATTTTACAATTTATAATTTGTAAAATTATCTAATTTCACAAAATCATCAATATTATGTTATTATATTTTTTTATCAAACCCTTATAAATTATATTTAATTTCTTTGTTCGATAATTTCATTTTTCATACTTCATACAAAAATTATTTGTGATATTGGAGTGTCTTACGTATATAAATTGCTATAGGGAAAGAAGTTGGGACTCCTGGAACCCCATGGAGTATAAATACAGGGTCTAAGCAAAATATGTGAGTTTTAAAAAATTTGAGATTCTGTTTTGAACCGCAATCTGAATTATTTATTTACACTCATAGGCAAAATAACACTAGGCAACAAATTTTAACTTAAAAAAAAGGTCCTGGTTAAAAATTGAATTTTTCGATTGTTTATAACTGAAATAGATCCAAAATGTTTTTAAAAAAAATTTCTGAAGTCGTAAATAAAAATAGGAGCACAGTATTTTGGTACCATTTATTGCATAGATACCCCATTTGAAAATTTTAAGATGACGATACTTTTAACTTATATTTCAGCATTCCATGAACAACATATCTGTACATATTGTAATAATTTAAGGCATGTTTTTTTGATGTTTTTTATCGTTAAAATTATTTTGTTTACTAATTTTTATCGTTATTATTTAACAATTTTTCTTTGTATCATGGTGCTGCCCGTATCGTCTAAACAAGACTTTGGAAAATTTTTTGGTCGCCGGATTTGCGTCGAGCAGGTCAAAATCTATAGGAGCTCCTATATACACTAGTGTGCTATTTTTATTACCGATCTTTTTTATTTACTAATTTTTATCGTTATTATTTAACAATTTTTCTTTGTATCATGGTGCTGCCCGTATCGTCTAAACGAGACTTTGGAAAAATTTTTGGTCGCCCGATTAGCGTCGAGCAGGTCAAAATCTATAGGAGTGTGCTATTTTTTTTTACCGACCTTTTTTATTTACTAATTTTTATCGTTATTATTTAACAATTTTTCTTTGTATCATGGTGCTGCCCGTATCGTCTAAACGAGACTTTGGAAAATTTTTTGGTCGCCGGATTTGCATCGAGCAGGTCAAAATCTTTAGGAGTGTGCTATTTTTATTACCGACCTTTTTTATTTACTAATTTTTATCGTTATTATTTAACAATTTTTCTTTGTATCATGGTCCTGCCCTTATCATCTAAACGAGACTTCAGAAAATTTTTTGGGCGCCCGATTTGCGTCGAGCAGGTCAAAATCTATAGGACTGAGCTATTTTTATTACCGACCTTTTTTTATTGTTTACTAGTGTAATCGATCCACACAAATTTTCGATGAATTTCAATCGCAGATAACTTTTTTATTTGATGTCGAATGTAAACGAATATTAAAGAATATTGTAGATAAATTAATGGACAATCGCTCAAATTTTAAAAAATTACTAAAAAATAGACGTACGTTTATAATATACAGGTTTAAACAAAAATATGTTTTTTACCATAAGTTTAAGACACTCTGTAGAGTGGCAAAACCGTATATTGTTCTAAATTAAGTTTTATATATCAAGTCACATCTATTCTTAACAGTTTTGTTTTTAATTCACCTCGATATATTTATTTTTGTGGAAAATATAGATTTTTTTAAAAAAACATTGAAATTTCCAATATTTTTCTGTATGAAGAACTAAGGTTGCTGTGGTCCATCCATAGGCTATGGAGAATGACAGTGACAGTTTTGTTGAATCATCCCATACCTGAACATGTCATACACGGCTTTCAAAAGCTATCAAATTGTTTTTTGCAAATTAATGTTTAAATTTTGAGGTGTCTTCTTACTCTAAAAAATGGATATGTCTCCGACTGATGTTGCCAGAGCCATTTATTTAATCCAGGATGGATGGTCACAAGAAGTAAAGCACAAAGGGTAACATGATTGGGAGACATTTTTAAAAGTAAGAAGACACCTTAAAATTAACACATTAATTTACAAAAAACAATTTCCTAGCTTTTGAAAGCTGTATATGACATGTCCAAGTATGGGATGATATGATATGGATGGACCATAGCAACCTTAGTTCTTCATACAGGAAAAATATTGAAAATTGCAATGTTTTTTTTTTTAAAAATCCATATTTTCCACAAAAATAAATATATCAAGGTGAACCAAAAACAAAACTGTTAAAAATAGATGTGACTTGATAATTAAAACTTACAATATACGGTTTTGCCAATCTACAGAGTGTCTTAAGCTTATGGTAAAAAATATCTTTTTGTTTAAACCTGTATATTATAAACGTACGTGTATTTTTTAGTAATTTTTAAAATGTGAGCGATTCTCCATTAATGTATCTACAATATTTTTTAATATTTGTTTAAATCCGAAATCAAATAAAAACTTTTTGCGATTGAAATTCATCGAAAATTTGTGTGGATCGATTATTTTGCCTGTGAGTGTAAAAAGATTTTTTCCAATGTATTACATTTTTTTTGATAACTTTGATTTTTTTTTGTTCAAAATAAGAATATCAAATTATTTTTATTTTTAATAAAGAAACAATCGAAGTTTTAGTACTTACAGTCGTTACTTTGGAGTAGAAAAGTGAAACAATGCCATGTTTGATTTTCTTTTACCGCGGGCTCGCAATTCACTGATGAGGCTAAATTGTTAATAGGATCGTAACATTTTTCTTTATCTTTTACATCGCAGTCAAAACATTGCAAACCAAAGATACCTAAAAAAATACAACATATAATAATAATTTTGTTTAAACCTCATCTTTTAGAAGTTTTAAAAATATGGACCGTTTTGGCTTATCCATACAAAATAATTAATTTGTTTTAAATTACTTTCACATTAAAAAGTACATCAGGTTTTCTAGAAATTTTAACTCAAAAGTAAAAACCGCAATATTTGATTATATCCACAAAGTATTTTTTCCACAAAACTTTTCATTAAGTTAAGCCATCTAACAGTCCTTTTTAAATTTTTTTAAAGTTATTAGTAAAATTAAAAAGGATTTTGAGGAGGACGATTATTACTTTTAGAGTTTTTTGGAAAAATTCGGCTTTGTGTTAGAATTTATTAAAATCCATTAGCGTGACTCAAAATTGATTTATTTTTGAAACCTACATTCTAATGTTAATTTAACCAATATTAGAATGTAGGTCTGATTTTAACAAGGTGCTCAAATGGCTAATGGTAACGACAATAGAGATGCCAAAACTGCAGCCTCAGAAGGGGAAAACCTTTTCGTTTGATGAATAAAAAGGTTTTAAATTGACCAATCACAGTGGTAGTTTCAAATGCACAAAAATTATTTAAACAAGCCTTAACATTTTGACAAGTTAAGGGCGATTCCATGATTACTAACGGGACAAAAAGAAAGAAGACAAAATGTTTTATGATATATATATATTATATACTTAAAGTATACTTTTGAAGAAATGTTGTTCCTATAACAATAATTTTATGATAGTAACTTAATTTTATTGCTGAGAACTATCATAAAATTATTATTATACGAACAACATATATTCAAAAATTTTCATAAAACATTTTATATACAGGGTGTCCCAGAACTCGCGCCACAGAGAAAAAGGGGACGTGCCGATACTATCTACTATCTCCATTGCAATGCAATGCAATGGAGATGCCAAATTTAAAAATAAAAAATGTCTAGGTAATAGTGTAATCGAATAAGAGCAAAAAAGCGGCAGCTAATACCGAGAGATCTCGCCTAGGTTAAACGTAGGAGCTTTAAAAATTGCTAGGAGACGATAGAACATTGTTGTATTAAAAACATTTAAAAATCTTTTGGCCAACTGTATTTACTAAGTTGTCAAAAGCTTTCAAAAAATGAGGTTATTAATCTATGACTGATACTTCAGAACCCCAATGTTTTAAAGTAAAAAAATCAAACCAGTTGTACTTTATTTAGCTTTTTTTTGCGCCCACGCTCTCCATAAATAGTTATCATTTCGGTATAATCATCAAGGAAAACATTATTTATAATAACTTAATTTATTACCTAATATAATATTAATGACAGAAGTAAAGATTGACAGCAGTGTTACAATGAATTGGATTCCAGTGGACCAAATATTTTACATATTTTTTATTATCAACAATGCAACCTAAGTATCCTAGCAATTTAAAGAATTCCCTGTGGTGATCTATTGGGATTGGCTATCGTTTTTTATTCTTATCTCCCTTATCCTTTGCGTTGGACAATTTGAATTTTTAAATATGTGTTTCAAATTACTTTCGGTACGTTTCCTTTTTCTCTGTGGCGCGAGTTCTGGGACACCCTGTATATACACGACGACGTTTCGGTACAATATCATGTACCACCTTTAGGTCTTATCTGGTGGGCTGCTGTTGCTGCTCTGCTGCAAGTGAGCAACAGCAGCCCAGCAGATAAGACCTGAAGATGGTACATGAGTTTGTTCTTTTAAGAACCAAAAACCGATAACACGGAGCACATCCCAGAAAACCATTATTACATATAACGCCCGTGAAAATCTAAAGCAGAACATTTTTATATTTATATATATTTCCAACAAAAAGTTCAAATATTAGTTAAAGATTAAAGAGCTATTTATAATTTAAACATACAAATTATAAATTTCTATAAAATAAGATAAGATTTTAAAATAGATGATGATATTTAAAAAAATAAATACACGTAATTTTTTATTTGAATTCGTTCACATTGATTCTAAAAATATGTAGGTAAAGCATTTTTGAGTTTCATTTAAGATTTATAAAATTACGTTAAAACAAATAATTTAATTATTTCAAATACTAAAATGGCGTGTAAAAGTACAGGGGATATGGATGATACCAATATATAATGATATTATTATTATTAAGAGCTCTACATGGTGGTAAAAATTTTTTAGACCAGTTTATTCGAATTTAATAAAAATTTAAAATAGAGGCACTTTCATTTTGTTAATCAGTTTTTAGACTAGATAAATGGAAACTTTTTCATAAAAAAGGTGTGGTCAAAAACGTTTTTTATTACAGCGTTTTGTAACAGTAACTTATTCAATGACACTGGTTGCTAAATGATACTTTTACGAACTAGTGCGTAAAAGTAACGATTTTGAGCACCAGTGTATTAAAAATTGGTATTTATTTATGGTTGCTAAATGACACATTTACGCACTAGTGCGTAAAAATGACACTTTTCAGCAGTCTTACAATAGTATATTGTGCCACTAGTGGGAAAAAAAGGAAATTCCTAGAGCGCTGAGTTTGCCACACAATATTTTATTCAACAACCACAGCTGTCAATTAGTTTTAAACCCACTTCAGCCCGTGGGCGAAATGTTATTTCGCCCACTAGTGGGAGAAGTAAAATTTCACACACCGGTTAATTGGGGTTAAATACAAAAATTTATAACCACTTTTACCAAGACGTAAATGTGCACATAAACGGATTTCACACTTTTACCGTAGCATATTTACTACATTACATGGATACTTTGCAATCCGACCTGTTTTGATTGTAAAAAGAGAAATGTCAAAAACTTGTCAAAAATAGCATAAGTACAAATTTAATTTTCTAGAAAAATATTGAACAAACCAGTTTATGTAGAATCTAAAACATCCTTTTTGGAAAGGTTTTAATAAAAATATTAATGAACGCTTACCAGCAATTAAAAGAAAACCTAAAAACAAGCACAACGAGCAGTTCATCTTGGAAAATATATCTGCTAAACGTATATTTCACTTATGAAATCGAACACATGAATATGATTAATTGTAACCATAGAAATATAACTAGGTATTACTAATAGTTTTATCTTAACAATTGTGTGTACTTAGTCATAAATAAATATAAAGAGCTATTCGAATAGATAAGTATTTATTTATCTAAAATCAATATAAAAACATTTTTATTAACCTTAAAGGTAAAATAACATATCAATTTTGTGTAAATCCTCTAGAATTGTAAAGTTTTTTATTACAATCATCGTTTTCACATGTCAAACAGGATATACTTGTATATTTATTTCGGAATTCGTCACATACTGCAGAGTTTAATTGGTCCTTAGGTTTCATGTGACATCCTCTGTATACACCTATAATAAAAGAAATAGGAATGTAGTTAAAAAAATTTGCTGACTAAAAATTACATGGTAAAAAAACACCCTTTTGTAAATGCGTGTTTTGCATGTTTTTTATTTAATTTATTGGACACCGAGAAACGCTTTCAGAAGGTATAATACAGGGTGTCCCAAGAATGGCGCACTAACTGTATAATATAATATTATTACGCTGTAGTAGTGGATATTTTTAAAATAAAAAAATAAGTACAAAACATTTTTGCGACAATTAGGTTTAAAGTTTCTATAAAACGTCCAATATTTTAATCAGCACAGATTCCAATAAGATACTTTTTAAAGTAGGAAATTTCTACGCAACAGCGCTTAGAAATTGATTATTACAATAAATATTTTATGTAAATCTCAAAACACAATTTTTTGTAGCAAAACTATGACAGTTTTAAACCTTCATTTTGATATTATAACAACAAATTAAAAATTTATATATATAGTTACTTATTTACTTTTAATGTTGTTTTTAGTTTTTAATGATACTTTAATTCATAAAAGTAGTAATTTCTTAATTAAAATGGTAAAAGGTTTTATTTTTATCACATTGGCACCTCTGAATTTGCTGCTACTGTTATTTAGGTATCACTCTTCAAATGCAGATTCTGTCTTAAGTTAAAAAGCATTTAAATTTAAAAAAAAACTAGGTAACGCGGTGTTTTCCTAAGCCTATATATGAGATCTAAAAAGTTTGTTATAGAAATAAAATAAACAACGCATTCAGAGTGGTAAAATTGACATGGTGAACAATATATTGTTTATGGATTAAGAAAGTTGGCCATTTCCATGAGGTTGAAATATTGCCACACGAGCCACAAGGCAAGTGAAGTAATTTAACCGCCTGGAAATGTTTCTCAAGAGTTGAACACTATACTTTTTATAAATTTTGTTTATGGATTTGGTACAATTTTGTGTAATTTCCATAACCACTGATACGATTACAAATGTCAGTGTAAATTATTTTTTTTTAATACCACCCTATAATCGTTATAGTAACGATAAATACCTACTAACGTGAAGAAATAGATTTTCTTCACAGTTTAAGACTGAGCCATTTTCTTAATTGAAAACGTATAGGAAATGTACAAATTCTTTAATATGTAAATAACGTTTCTGTCAAAAACTAAAAAGAATAAAAAAAACTTCTTACCATTTAAAGCAAAAAATGAGAAACAGGTTGCTTTTTTTTCTTCAGTGTCTTGACAAATTACAGTGGACGCTAATTCATATTCTGGATCAAAGCATTTATTATCTCCGCTGCAGTCAAAACATCTCAACGATAAACAATCTAAAAACAATATGATCATAACTCATGTATTTTAATTTTGCTGGTATAGATTTATTACTTATAAATAAAAACGTCAAAATTAATGCACAAAACCACGCTGGTTTTGCCATTTTAAGATTTTACGATCAAACTATACTGATGAAAAAATCACTTTTCAAAAGTAAACAGAAGATAAAAGTAAAGCTGTGTTTGTTAATGATAAAATAAGTAATAAATATATGTATATAATAAGGGCTATGATGTAACTCGGTCACCAACTTGAGTCGTTAAAAATATCGCCAGAGAGTAAACAAACTTAGGTTACATAATTTATCATAACAATACCTTATTATAAAAAATTAAACATTTTAACGGTCGTTAATATTTACGTTAAATAACATATTCTTGTTGTTTGACAACTAACTTATTTTTGGAATGGTTTGTCAGTAAAAGTAAGTTTTAAATATTTTTTCTCCACAAGTTTTTTTATTCTATGACACACAATTTTTTGGAATCGGATAGAGGTCGCCTATAATTTAACAGATTTATTAGGAAAATTAATAATACGAAACAAATACGAATCAAAAACTACGACATAAGGGGTGGCTCTGTAAACTGATTTCGCTTAAAAATAAAATCAATGCTACCTTATAAAAGCAGCGGTCTTCTTGTTTATTTCAAAAAATCAGTTTTATAGTTCTAAATGCATTTTTGTGGGAATATTTTAACTATTTTATAAAATATAATTTTCATATTTTGTAAAATGATTTATATCTTCTCACAAAAATGTATTTTGAACTTTAAAAATGATTTTAAAAAATGACTTGTCAAAATTAAATTTTTGGTCTTGTACTGTTCTTATTCTCTCCGATTCAATTATAGGAAAATCCAATTTCATGTAGAGCTTTATTCCAATTTCTCACATAAACCAAGCTAACACTATTTCAGAGTTTTCAAAAGAAGACTTAGATACATATATGGTTGTGCAATTATCCCAGACGTATCTTTACCATCCCTTCCTATTTATTTTTGAACTTTTTTCGTTTTCTTGCCGCTGTCTCTTTCTATTTTTTCTTGCAGTAGTTTAATGCTACTTGAAAAATCTTCTCTTTGCTCTTAATAAAAAAAATTTCGTCAACTTTTTTTATTTTTGCATCAAAATCAAACAAATCTTTGAGATTACTTCTGAAGAAATTCTCACACACAGTATTATTTTTGCTTTGACGAGTACAGTGCTTGTTGAGAGCTAAATATCGTTCATACAATTTTGGTCGTTTTTCCACACAGGAAAACTGCTCCAAACGTCTGTAACTAACTGGCAAAGTCTTGCCCTGGAAACAATGTAATCTACAAGTCAGTTACTTCAACATTCTGATGAACATCAACATAGACCACAGATTAAAATACTTTTCTCTATGTAACACACGATTTAGTACTCTATGAGGTCATAGAACTAATGAAAATAAATTATAAGAAATAATTGTACCAACACCAAAGTTATTTGTTTTGAGTGCGTTCCACCAACTTCAAATACCGACAGACAGCTGTTTCGACCTATATTGGGTATCATCAGTTTCTCTAAACTAAAAAGTAGGAAAACAGGGTAAAATTGCGGCCAATTACTAACGCCTCTGCCACTAACCTGATACAAGTTCGTAGGGCATAATCAATCACTTTAATAATAAAGTTTAATTTATAGACCGCATAAGGATATTTTTTTAATTGTTACAAATAATTTAGATTATACCTACGCAAGTAAAAAAGCCATCTCGGGAAATATCGGACACTTTATAATATCATCAATTTATAATATACCTACCCAAGTTACTAAGTACTTAGTACTATGTACTAAGGTACACACACACCCTAACACACAGTTAGCCTAGAGGGCCTTTTCAAGAAAAAAATATACATGATTTAAAACTCGGATTTTTGAAATACATATAAGATCTACTACTATTATCAAAAAAAAATTAAAATCTTCTATCGAGCCCTTTTCGAGAAATTGTAGAAAATGTTTTTTTTTGCTAGACATGTAAAAATGACCTAATTAAATACTATATTTTATTTTATTTCTCTTGAGATGATGTTGTGAACTACAACATTTGGTTAGTTTCTAACCTATAAATATGTAAAATAAACAATATCGTCAATATTTTGATTATTTTAATACTAACTGTCACACCGCACTGCTTCGCTTGCGAAGTTGGCTATATTGTAAATACAGTCCTCAAACTCAGGATTATATAAAAAAAATCGTATTTAAATCGTACATCACAACATTAACACCAAACTGTAAATACTAGTACCTAATTTTAATTTATGATTAAGAATAAAGAGGATATTTAACAAATTCTGTACCTAAATGCTTACCAAATAAACAACTACAAATCAAAATCAGACTTAAATATGTTTACTATTAAAAGAACAAACGCTTTTAAGCAAATTGTAAAGATAATTCTTAGAATTATGGTTTAAATTATAATGTAAACTGTGCTGTTTGTAGGCATGATGGCATTGTTCTGATGCCTGTTCAGAATAATAGCCCAGTGGAGTATTCGTCATCCTAATAAATTCTGGGACATGATGAACTAACACATGCATTTTTGGTGTATATGGAATTTCTAGCTTTTCTAACTCGCATGCACGCAAATCTTTCAATGTAAATTTCATAATTAATATCCAGTGATTCAAAAAAAAAATCTTCTCTTGCAACACAAGCTTGTGTTGCGATATGATTTTATTTTTTTAAATGAATAATTCGATATTATCTACTTTTTTAGGAAACAAGTATATTCCAGCTTTTAGAGCTTTTAACAAAGTAGTTGCAAGCTGCTTTGGGGGATCACTGGATATTAATTATGAAATTTACATTGAAAGATTTGCGTGCGAGTTGGAAAAGCTAGAAATTCCATATACACCAAAAATGCATGTGTTAGTTCATCATGTCCCAGAATTTATTAAGATGACGAATACTCCACTGGGCTATTATTCTGAACAGGCATCAGAACAATGCCATCATGCCTACAAACAGCACAGTTTACATTATAATTTGAACCATAATTCTAAGAATTATCTTTACAATTTGCTTAGAAGCGTTTGTTCTTTTAATAGTAAACATTAGGGTGCTTCAAAAATTTTTTTTTCGCTCTTACCCTCTCAAATGTTTTTATTTAATATAAAAAAAATCCTCACCAAATATGGGCGTTCCAGCTCAACTCTAAGAGGTCGCTATTTTTATTTTAGTTTCCCATTGAATTAACATGGGAAAAAATTAATTTATGTTTGGAATTTTATACCTCTGTATCAAAGTAACTTATGGCAATGATCATAGCAGTTTCTTATATAAAATTTAACGCTCTACAAGAAAGGTCCCTTATTATTTTTCGATAAAT